TTTAATTGTATTTTAATCATTTTATTTTATTGCATTGAATTTTAATTGTTGTAAGCCGCCCAGAGACCTTTGGGTAGAGTGGGCGGCATATAAATTAAATAAATAAATAAAAAAATAAACATAGGGAGAGAATCCCCCAGCCCATCAGAAGGGCCCCCCAGAAGAAGTCCTTAAGGGGAAGGGTTACCCTGTCCAACATAGGGAGAAAATCCCCCAGCCCATCAGAAGGGCCCCACAGAAGAATGATTTCTGTCTTGTCCAGGTTGCGTTTCAGATTAACAACCTTGGTCCATTCCAGAGCCGAGGCCAGGCAGTCGCTAGTGAATGCTGAGAAAAGCAATTCTGAACAATACGGGGAGATTTCATTTCCCAAGAAGAAAGTACCCACCAAGCATGCCGTATTGAAACAGAGAGAAACACACCCACTTGTTTTATTTATTTAAAATATTTTTATCCCACCTTTCTCCTTTAAAAAGGACCCAGGGCAGCTTATGTAAGTAAACCCACCCACTTGCTTACATTAATTCATTAGTATGTATAACAATTTAAAACTGTTGCCTGCCAGAGCAGTTAAAATGCATGGATATATTTTAAAAGACAGAAAGAGAGCAGAAAAGAATTTCCCAGATCACTTTAAAATTGGCTATTGAAAAAACTTGGTATATACCTGAATTTGTTTTGCCAGAAATAGAGAACGTCCTGCCTCTGTATCTTCTGACTGCTCTGAGGTCTCATCAGGTTTTGATAAACATGGACAGATCTTAGCCTGTCAAAAAGGAGGGTTGGTAAGTATAGAGAAGGGCCATAGCCAACAGTACAGTCCTATTGGGAACCTCTGCGCATTCAAGCTGCCATCAACCAGTAAAGGTTCAAAAAGGTCCAGAGAGAGAGAGAGAGAAAGAGAGAGAGAGAGAGACGATTGACTGATGAGCAAGAGGTTACTAAAATATCTGACTAGGTTATACAATTTGCACTGAAGAAATGTACAATCCAAGTGTGTAAGAAAACCATCCCTATTTTCTTTCCTTCCGTCCGTCCTTCTCCTAGTTCCAGTTGTGTATTGTCCCTGAGGTATGTGACTATGGCTACTTAGCAACAGGAGAAATGTATATGGCTCCTGATCAGAAATTATCTTTTTATCTTTACTTAATGTTCTGCAGAAATGAGTTCTGCCTTTCAAAATGGACTTCAGCACTTGACTTTTGAGAACTTTTATCTCAATTTAACACAGGTGAATTTACTGACAAAGCCATTTGATCAACATGGTTACTTTACTGTCTTAAAAAAACCCATGATAACAGGCAGAAAAGCATCTTAGTGGGCACCAGCAGCTGAGGCTACCACAGTGCACAGAATGTGAAGGGATTGGGTGACTAGCATGCGATACACAGTGTGGGAAAGCGGAAAGAGCATTGAGCTCAATAGCCACAGAAACCCACTGGGAGGGGGAGACAATGACAAACAGCTCTATGAACATCTTGCATACCTGTTAGGATCACTTTAAGTTGAAAGTCACTCAATGGAAAACATGCACGTAAATACCAATATGTTCTGCTTGGATGGGGGTGGGGGAGACAAAGAAACAACCCACCTTTGAATCAATAACTTGTCCCTGAAATGTTTGTATATTTCTAATACAGCCACACGGTTCCAAAAGATCTAACGTGCAAGTTCATTGCACACATTGAGTGCCTGCCGGCCTCAGCCTTTTGCAGCCCTTTCTTTATTTATTGAAGCCTGTGTCGATGCCTGGTGCCGCCAATGGAAATTCTGAAGCTGCTTGCTCCAAAGTATGTGAAATGCACCTGGTAATGATTTTCATTCCTCCCTAGGTCAAGTAGGATGGATCTGGTGAGGCTACATCAGCAAGAATCACGGCTACCTGATTGATGTATTGTTTACTTACGGTACCTGTAAAGCACAAATGTTATGGCAAAACAGGGAGGCCTGGGAGAGCAGCACAGCTCCCTTTCTATGTCTGTCAAGGGACTCTGGGAGAGCTTTCTCTCATGGCAGGCACGGGTTCAAGGGAAAATGTGCCAGCAGTTTTAAGGAGGCGATGTTTCATGGCGCATTGATGAAATTTCTGTTCTTCTGACCAGAAAATGCTACTTTTCCTTCAGAAAGGAAGGCAAGTTGTTTCTTGTATATGCCTAAGTTTCTCACTCTGTGCTTATAGTTCCTCAAAGAAGGACGCCTAACAGTTTGGGCTCCATTGCTGACTGTTAGGGTTGGGGATGCCTTCACATGTACACGTTCCTATTACTGTACACCAATCAGCCACAACATTAAAACCACCTGCCTAATATCGTGTAAATCCCTCCTGTGCTCCCAAAACAGCACTGATGAGCTGAGTCATAGATTCCACAAGGTCTCTGAATATGCCCTGTGGCATTTGGCACCAAGACATTAACAGCAGATCTTTTAAGTCCTGCAAGTCATGAGCTGGGGCTCCGTGGATCAGATCTGGTGTTCCAGCACATCCCGTAGATGCTCAATCAGACCGGGATCTGGGGAATTTGGAGGCCAAGGAAGCACCTCCAACTCTTTGTCATGTTCCTCCAACCATTCCTGAACAATTTTAGCAGTGTGCCAGGGTGTATTATCCTGCTGAAAGAGGCCACGGCCACCAGGGAACATGAAGTGGTATATGTGTTCTGCAACAATCTCTAGGTAGGTGTCAACGTAACAGCCATATGAATGCCATGAGCCAAGGTTTCCCAGCAGAACACTGCCCAGAGCATAACACGGCCTCCGCTGGCCTGACATAGTGCATCCTGCTGCCATTTCTTCTTCCCCAAGTAAAAAACATACATGCACCTGACCATCCACCTGATCTAAAAGAAAATATAATTCATTGGACCAGGCAGCCTGATTCCATTGCCCCATGGTCCATTTCTAACACTCATGTCCCCATTGTAGTCACTTTTGGTAGTGGGCAGGGGGTCATCATGAGCACTCTGACTGGTCTGTGCCTAAGCAACCCCATTGACAGCGAACGGCAATGCACGGTGTGGTCTGACACCTTTCTATCATTGCTGGTGTTATGTTTTTCAGCAATTTGAGCTACAGTACCTCTTCTGTGTGATCAGACCAGACACAGGCTAGCCTTTGCTCTCTGTATGTGTCAATCATTCGTAGGCACCCACGACCCTGACTCTGGTTCACTGGTTGTCCTTCCTTGCACCACTGTTGGTAGGCATTAACCACTGGGATACTGGGAACACCCCACAAGACTTGCCATTTTGGAGATGCTCTGCTCAGTCATCTAGCCATCACTGTTGGCTCTTGTCAAAGTCACAGATCTTTTCACTTGCCCATATTTCCTGCTTCTAATACATGAAATTCAAGAACTGACTGTTCACTGGCTGCCTAATATAGCCCACCCCTTGACAGGTGGCATTGTAAGGATATAATCAATGGTATTCACTTCATTTGTTAGCGATTTTAATGTTGTGGCTTATCAGCATAAATGGGAAAGCAGGACTCTTGGAAGTCGAGTCACTGGGGTTTCAGAGAATCTTAGGTCTCTTCCAGCAGTTTCAGAAGCAAGGGATGGCACACAGAACACCTGATGAACTGGGCTGTAAGAGAGAGTAGCTGGGGCCCCACTGGTTTCCAGGGATGCGCAGAGAGTAGCTGAGAGCTTCCTGTTGCCTCAGGGGCATGGGCTGGGCACCCTGGCCCTGCTCTGATCTATGGACTTCTTTCTTAAATGGCTCTGTATTGGGGATGGGGATATGTCTCCCCCCCCCCCACACACACACCACCTGCCGCTTTTGGGGGACCAAGTTCTTCTCCAAAAAAGGAATTGCAGCTCTTTGGAAGACTCCAGGAATGCAGATTCACCTGCTAAATAGCCTCCCTTGTACTATCTTATCTCTCCACAATAACCATTCTTCCAAACAGAAAGAGGTTTTCCTGTCACATCTCTCTCTCTCTCTCTCTCTCTCTCTCTCTGTGTGTGTGTGTGAGAGAGAGAGAGAGAGAGAACACACACACATTTCTGGAGGGTCCTGGAAGGACTATTGTTCTCTGGACCTTCCAACATTGTCCGCCCCTCTACATTCCAGGGCCAAGCTATAGATGATGCTGAATGTGTCACTTGACATTACTGGTATCTAAGGGGAGGACCTGGTTGTTGTGGGGGAGTACCACAGTGGGGGTGCTCATCCTTTCCCCCTGCACCATGGTGCTGAGAAGAATACGTAGTCCCCTCCAGCTGCTTTCCGTTGGTGCCAATGATTATGTCAATAGAAAAAAAAGAGATCACTTCTAAACATAGGATTTCCACAATGAGCAGCTATAGCCTAGAACACTCGGTGAGTGCAGACTGTATTCAATGTGCAATTTTTTTAACTCACGCGGACTTTTTTCCAGAAGTTTAACATTTCTGGTCCAGCAGGAGATCGCCTGCTCCCAGCAGCTGCTGCTGCCTGGGAGGAAGAGCCTTCCCTTCCCTTGTAAACTCTGATGTCATAATGGGCAGGCCCGACACCCCTACCCTGACTCTCACTGAGAGAGGATTAGTTCAGGATGAGCCTGCCTGAACGGTGATTGGTTTCCTCTCTAACTGGCTGGGCAAGGAAAGTGTCGTTCCTGACTGTGCATGTACCATGGAAACAGAAGGAGGTTTTCCTTGGGGGCGGGGGTGGGCGATTTCTTAATTGGCATGGAGGCAGCAAAAGCAGAGCTTAGAGGGATATTCACCCAAGCAAGCGAATGAATCTTCTGAGAGATAGCATATTAATCACCGTTTTCTTTTGTGTATCTGTCGGTGGCTATAGGCACACATGAGTTCAGACTAATGTTGTTTTTGCTTTCATATTCATGGCCAACTTGTCTTGTGGTTTACATTCTCCTCTTCCTCTTGATTTCAGATGTTGAGATTGATGAAGCTCAAAGAGAGCTCCCTCAACAGACTCCCTCTCTCTCTCTCTCTCTCTCACACACACACACACACACACACACACACACACACACACAGAGAGAGAGAGAGAGAGAGAGAGAGACATGATGGGGTGGTGGTGGTGGTAGTTAAAATTTGCAGAATCACAATGTATCAGAGTGGTGTGTGTGTGTATGTGTGTGTGTGTGTGTGTGTAAAATTTGCAGAATCACAACGTATCAGAGTGGTGTGTGTGTGTGTGTGTGTGTGTGTGTGTGTGTGTGTGTGTGTGTGTGTGTGTGTTTACACCCCAAACAAGTTCTCTTTGTTAGATACAAGCAACATCATCCTAAATCTGCAACTTTACATACTCAGGAGTATTGGAGAAAAATGTCAATATTGAAGTCAGAAGGAAATTAAACAGAGAAATTACAGACTGTGTGGATTATGCTGAAGTAAAAATAGTAAATGTAAAAAATGTAAAAATAACCACACCTGCAAAACAGTGCTGAGAATAACACTGGGCACTGCCAGCCTAATAAACACTGAGGTGAGATTTAAGTCAGAGGTGATAGAATTTAACTTTTTGGTCCATTGCAATTCAATATTTTTCACACAATTTATGTTTGTAACTTTGTAACTTCTTCATTCAAGAATGGCCATGTTACTGTAACTTCCTGGGAGAGCAAGGCCCCACGCATATGAAACCAAAGGGTGTACACTACACTAGTTATGCCTTAAGCAACTTGCTAGTCTTCATGAAACAAGGATGGCAAAGACGGCCATGCAGTTTGGGGGTATTCTGAGTACTTAAGAGTGGAAAAAGTAGCTTTCCCCCTTCACTGTTAAGGAAGAACAAAGGGCCTCCTCCTAGAAATTTTAGCTGCCACCAAGTCCTTACAGCCCCTGGCAGAGCCTCACCTGAACATCTACAGAGTTCTCTGACCATCATGCATGCCCCTCCCCCTGCCTTCTCCCGCTTGTCTTTTATAACATCTTACTTGGTGAAAAAAAAATCTGGAAGCTTGTCATTTGTGATCACTGAATCGGTCTAAACCAAGTATCGTTTCGTTTAGTTGTTTAGTCGTGTCTGACTCTTTGTGACCCCATGGACCAGAGCACGCCAGGCCCTCCTGTCTTCCACTGCCTCTCGGAGTTTTGTCAAATTCATTCTGGTAGCTTTGATGACACTGTCCAGCCATCTCATCCTCTGTCATCCCTTTCTCCTCTTCCCTTCACAATTTCCCAACATCAAGTTTTTTTTCAAGGAGTCTTCTCTTCTCATGAGATGGCCAAAGTACTGGAGCCTCAGCTTCAGGATCTGTCCTTCCAGTGAGCACTCAGGGTTGACCAAGTATAACCAAGTATAATCAATAATAATGTGCTGTCTAGTGATTTCCAGCATATGACAACACCCCTGGGGCTTTCAAAAGTGGAACTAGATAGCAGGACAGGTCCACCCCATCAGCCATACATCTCCAGATGACCTAAAGAGGCCCCTTCCTGCAAGAGGTATGGTGGGGATGCCAGCCCTTGGCTCTTAGACTGACTCACCATCTGCTCCACTGGCTTGCTTATAAGATTGTTATCTGTGTGACCTCCTTTTGCTTCCAAACTGATAAGGTAACTCATCTGCCAGAGTTCTTTGTTAGAGAGAATAATGCCAACTCAAAGTACCTACTGAAGTTGCCTCCTCCAGAAGAATCCACCTGCTCTGGGCTTTTTCTCTGGATAAAAGCTGCTAATGAGCAGTTGAGGCTAAAAGATAAATGGTCCTCAGAAGCCTAACTGACAACCAGCCTTGCTTGTCCCATCATTTTGCATGTAGTTCTACCCCAGCTGTTACAGAGACAATTTCCCTCATTATCATTGCTATTTAAGGAAAAAAACCAATCCATTAGCAAGAGATAAAGGGCTGCATTATTGCACATGTACCGAATAGGCTGGAGGTTTACATGGACAACTGTAAAGCTCCATTTGTTCAGGCATTGTAAATCACAGCCTCGCACTAGCAATTCAGAAATCAAGCCTGGCAAGCAGGAAAGATTTTTCCTGTCCCCCTTCTGTCTACTGCATTCAGTGGTTAAACATGAGGCTTAAGGGCAAATGTCCTTGACTTTGCCTGTAGCCTTTTGGGAGCTATGGAAGGGCAACTCACGGTCCTTGGGTGATTTTCTTGCTACCATAAAATGTAATTTCCTGCTTAAAATTTATTTGTGCATGTTAATTATGCAGCAAGGTTTTGACACATCCAGAGCTGTGAAGTGTGTTTCGGCTCTCAAATCCAAAGAGCCTATCAGATGGCGAGCTTTTTCTCTAGCCTGCCTCTTTTGTAGTCTGTGTTTTAAACAACCTCATTAGTGAGGATTTTTCACTTTGAAGATAATGAGCATGACTGCAGAGCATCTGGAACAAGCAAAGAGTTGGAACTGGGCACTGCCCATTTTAGCTGTTGGTAGAATATTTCACTATTCTTCTGGTGTCCCCCCCCCCTTTCTGGAAGAGTCCTTGTTGCACAGAAAATCAACCCATTCAGCTTCCTCTCATTAAACTTTTCCTGTAGAATTGTTATCTGTGATAGAGCTCTTATTGTAGTTCCAGTAGGCTTTCTTAGCAGTTTTGGCCTCTGCAGCACACCTTTTCACATGGATTGCAGCAAGTTTACGACTGTTTTTTTTTTTACTTTTACTTTTATTAGTTTTTTCCCCCACTCCCCCTAGACAAAGTCTACTCAGGGTGGCTTACATACATAGTAAAAACACAACAGTATAACAAACATAATAAAACCCTTCAAAAACTCAAAACTTAACACTTGTTTCTAAAAAAACATTGCCAAGACGGAATAAGTAAAGAAACAGAAAATAAAAATCATTTAATTGACTGGAGGGAAGGCCTGCCTAAAGAGCCAGGTTTTTAAATGGCTTTTGAAAACGCCCAGCGAGGGAGCCAGACGGATTTCAGTATTCCATAGCCGAGGGGCCACTGGTGAGAAGGCCTGGTTTCTTGTTCTTTCCTTCCGGGCCTCTCTCGGCGTTAGGCCCCTCAGCCGTCCCTGCTGGCTATGTCTTGATTCAGGTAGATCTAGGTGGGAGAAGGCGATCTGCCAGGTATCGATGTCCCAAACCGTTTAGGGCTTTGTATGTCGTCATTAGCACTTTGAAATCAATGCGGAAACAGATGGACAACCAGTGCAGAGCAGCCAGAGTGGGAGAGATATGCTTATATTTGGCACCATTTGAAGTTTCCTCATCACTCTCAAAGGCAGCCCAACATAGAGTGTGTTACAAAGGTCTAATCTTGAGATTATGAGCGCATGGACAAGAGTAGTGAGGGACCCCCCATAAAGGTAGGGTCGCAGCTGGGCAATCCGCCATAGATGAAAATAGGCAGAATGGGCCACGGATGCCACCTGGGTTTCCATGGTAAGTGCCGGGTCCAGATGTATCCCCAAGCTGCGAACCTCGCTCTTTGCGGTGAGGGTCGTCTCCCCAAAAGAAAGGGAGTCACCCAAACCACTAATGGAGGGACCACCCATCCTCAAGACCTCCGTCTTGTCTGGGTTCAGCCTCAACCCATTCATCCATTTCAGTACAGTCTCCAGGCAGCGCTGAAGGGACAGATCGGCATCCAGTGAAGTCGGTGAGAAGGAGATGTAGAGCTGCGTGTCATCGGCATATAGATGGCACGATGCCCCACACCCCCTGATGACCTCACCCGGCGGACTTCTGAATGTGAATGAGTCATTCAGTGGATAGTGATCCCATGGATAAGGGGGTCCTGCAGTATACAAATATTAAAAAGACTCAAACGAATGTCACACTAAAATGGTAAACAAAATCAACACCAAAAACAGATTCAAAGCAACGTGTGGCTTTTGTGTTGTAGAATTTGCTTTTCTTGGCTGATAGAGAACTCAGTGGTTTAGGTATCTGGCTGCAGAGCAAGAGTCTGGGTGTTGAACTCCCCACTGTGCCTGCTTGACAAGGGCTGAACTCGATGATCCATAGGGTCCCTTCCAGCTCTGCTTTCTAAGATTATTATTAATAGTAGCATTTTATTAGTTTCATTATTACTTTGGACAGAATAACGGTGCCAAACAGAACTGCCTTTCTGGCTAAGTGGAAGGTCAGGAGAAGAGGAAAGGCAAGAGAAGAGGTGAATGACTCCAGATCTAAATCTTCTTTGTGTTGCAAATAATTTTCAAGGTGAAAGAGAAGAGAGAGAGAGAGAGAAATCAAGGTTTCTCTCTGTAGGTGCAGTGTAGATACATGGGCAATCAGTCCCACAATAAAGCAGGAAAAGCCACTGAAAACCTTTATTGAGAAAGTTACATTCCAGATAGAAAAGTGTAAACCCTAAGCCTAACTAGATAAACACGTGCCCTCGGGGGGCACAGTCGAAACAATGGCATGTCTGTTCCTTAGGAAAACAGCAAAGAAAGGAAATGAGACTGATAGGTAGGTTCCCTGAGGATATCACTCTAATAAAGATGCAGGAACACATGAGCTAGATGGGCGCTAAAAAGTGGTGCTTGAAGGCTGCCTGGGTAACACTTCACTCCAGGGAGACGACCAGATTGTTAGC